AGGTCAATCCTGGGGAAAGCCTACGGGAGTGCAGTGCCCGAGTCCCTCGGCGCCTCTGCTGCATTCTCCGGGTGGACGCTTTCCCCTTGGGCCGTGGGCGACCTGACGAGGGGAGGTCGAGGAGGGGGAGGAGGAGGAGGAAGAGGAGGAGGAGAATAACAAGAAGAATAATACATATAATAATAATAATGATAATCATAATAATACTAATAACAATAACAATAAATAATAATAATAATAATAATAATATTATTACTAATAGTAATATTAATAATAAGCTTCGGTATTGCGCTGCATGTATGATCTCTCATGCCTGCTGCTCCTGCTACCTTTACACAGCTCTACAACAAAACCACTGACAGTCGGACTCCTGGGCTTCCCAGAACGTTCGAAGACAAGGTCGAACGCACCGTGCAGCCTTGCAATCTATGAGAGTGCCAGACTGATCGCAACGAGTGAAAACCCAAGCGGGCGGGAAGTGCAAACCTCTCGGCCCCGCAGGGGCCAAACCTCCAGGACGGGAGGTCCCAGGCCGACCCCTGGGGCGCCCGAGCACTCCCGAATTAGAGCCCACAACCCAGCAACGACGACGACAAAGGAACGACGGGGCGAGAGAGGCGACAAAGAGGAAGAGCAAGAACGCGGGAGCGGGGGAGGACCAAAGACAGGGGAGAGCAGCAAGTCAGCGGAGGGGGGCGTGGGCGCAGCACCAAGGTCGGAGCCTTGGTGATGCGCGGGGCGAGCCGCATCAAGCTCAGGAGGGGTGGACGGAGTCGAGGTCCGCGCCAATCTGATACGAAATACTTCCAATTACCAGTGCTGGTAGCCACCACCACGACCAGGAGTGAGAAATGCCATCGAACCGCTTGCCTGACAGTGGCGACACGAGCCTCCCTCAGCGAGGGGAGCGTCCTGGCCAAATATGAAGTGCCCGTCGAGAGGTGACGACATTGGGCGGATACGTAGGTGTCGAGGTAGTGGCTGGTGTTTACTTCTGTAGAATGCGTTCCAGGAGTGCTTGCAACCTTACTTACCACGAACCTTGCCTTTGCCCTGCTTGGAGCGGTCGAACAGCTTCTGCACGGTCGTCTCCAAGTGTCCGGCGGGAGCCGTACCCAACTTCACGAGAAACACGATGGCCTGGACCATCGTTTGCTCCAGCAGCAGCTTCGAGATGTGCGTTCCCTCGATCCTTGTTCCGTCCGAGATGCAGAACTGAGCCCTCTGGAAGCTCTCGTTACAAAAATTCCGAACTCGAAAGTAACGAATAACCGAACCCGAATCCTCCACCGTCGCACTGTCAATGAACATTATGAAAAATGTGAGTACCTGAGACGGCACCAGCGAGCACTTGACCTTCTCGTCGTCGGCCGAAGGCTTGAGAGCGGCTCGCACGATCTACACAAAAAGTGGCCCAAACGTTGCCTTCGACTCCTGGACCGCAGCCGTCTCAGCGTACTTCAGCCCTGCCGCACGATAGTTGACGATGAAAAGAAGGTCCGCTGGCACCACGACCGACGACCATTCTGCAGAACCAAGGTCGCAAAGCTGTTGTGCATGTTGGCGTGCCGTTTTCAATAGCAGCTCCGTCGGCTGAACAATGATCTTTCGTATGCAGCATCTCGGAAACACTAGATTGTGTAACATAGTACTGGTTCCATCTGCTCGTTTGGATGATCTCGAAAACCCGAAAGAAACTTCATATTGGTACGAATGCTGAACAAGATGACGGGGCTCTCCGTCAAGATTGCGTCGTTCTGATCCCTGAAACAAGATGCACCCCACGTTCCCAAGCACAGACGAAATCTCTTCCCCGCGAACTCCTGCTAGGCGCATGGCAATTCAAGAGACTGCCCACGCCGCGTACCCCAATGATCTGGGACGTGCCGTGCCCCTCGGTGTAGACATCGAGGACGAGGAAGCCGACGACGCACACGGCGGGAAGCCTGCGGCGCCGGCGAGCGCGGCACTCCCCCCTCTCACGGAAAATGCGGGCCCCGCTCGGGCGAAAAGCACATCGCTGCCACTGACGTGAGTGCCCTTGCCGTTGCAGGAGCCGCGATGGGGGGTGGTTTGCGCCGTGATGGCGGCTAGGAGGAGGAGGAGGAGGAGGAGGAGGAGGAGGAGGAGGAGGAGGAGGAGGACGAGGAGGAACGAGGAGGACGAGGAGGAGGAGGAGGAGGAGGAGGAGGAGGAGGAGGGGGAGGGCGGACTGGACTGGACTTGAACAATAGCGAAGCGATGGGGGACGTCACCCTGCCAAACAAAACGGGACGACGTCGGCCTGGGCGGGGCTAGCTCATGGGCCAATTGCCCACGAGAAAACGAATCTCTTATCGACGACAAACAGGACGTAAACTCAGGGGCCACTTGCCCACGAGAAAGCGAGCCTCTTAGTAGTGAGTACGCATGACACGCAGGGTGCGAGAAGCAACGCACCAGCGAAAGGAACATTAAAGCCCATAGCCGCAAACATTGTGGTCACCATATCTCAGATGTGTGATACAACTGATCATGTTCCTTACCCGAAAGGGAAAGGGAAGTATACGAACCTCCGACCCTCCGAACATTGACCACGTACGACAGCACCACAGCTACAACTTGTCCACGCAGTGCAACTCTGAAAAGCTCTGGCCACTCCCCAGGTTCACGCCCCCCTCTTCTCTAGGGGCCTTTTTGGGTATGCGGCTGCCGCTCCCCAAGTACACGCCTCCCTCTTCTCTAGAGGCCTCCTTGGGTATGCTGCGCTGCTTCTTCTCAGGAAGCCAATCGGATCAGCTCTGCTTGCAGTCAGCTGGGGTCGAGCATGGGACCGCCGCTGGAGCCGCCTACACCGCGCTCCAGTCGATCCTCGGCCCCGTCGCGACCGCCGCCCTCGGATCCTGGCCAGCAGCGCCTCCCTGCTGGGCAGTCATCCCCCGCGGGGGCCCGAACACGCGCCTCGGCGCACCGCCCCGCAGGACGTCAGCGTCGCCGAAGAGCCGAGCCCGCTCCGCGCTGGATTCCCATCTCTGTGCGGCACTGTCGCGTCCAGCCTGCATTGCCAACGTTGCCGAAGGCTCGACCAGGGTGGCCGTCGCCTCTGCCTCCGCCTTGACTGGCTCCTGCGGCACCTCCACGGAAGACTCCAAGGCATTCGAAACGGTCCCGCCGACAGCGCGCTCCTCGTCGCCACGACAGCGAAGCCCAGGGAGAGGGGAGGCGGCTGCGAGAGCGCCTGGGCTGCCATCGCCCTCGACAGCAGCACCGCCACCGCCAAGAGCGCAACCAGCCTCCTCAGGGCCCGCCGCGGGCGCTTGCGCGACCGCGGCCGCGAGCGCCGCGCCAAGGCGCGTCGGCTCGGCGCCGCGATGGCCGCGCAACTCCTCGAAGGAGCCGAGAAGGCGCTGCACCGCGCGGCCCTCGGCCCTGCGTTACTGCACCCTCCGCTCGGCCGCCGACCGGTTTGGCCAGCGGGGGTGTCCGGCGCCACCGCCGCGCCCGCCCCGGACATGGGCGCCGCGGGGAGGAGAGGACGGAGCGAGGGTTCCGATGGCGCTGAGGAGGAGGAAGAGGAGGAGGAGAAGGAGGAGGAGGAGGGAGGACGGGTCGCTTAAGCCCTTCGGAGAAACCCTCCATCCCGGGGATCCTCCTCGAGTGGTGCGGAAGGTGAGCACCTAGTCTTTGGTCGGGCATGTCCTCGTACAGGTGGATGTTTGGAAGGAAGTGTAACGAACAACATCAGAACTAGTTAAATAATAGTCTGAAGATCACGAGAAATCGTCACCAGACTCTCTTGTCTATTCTTGAAAATTCCTCCTGTAGAGGGACATGTCCGACTTGAACCTAGTCGCAGGCCCCCAGGCCTTGTTCGCGACGGCGAGGCGAGCATATAATAGGGCACATCCTTCTGCCCCTCCTCTTGCCGCACTTCCTCTCGGCCACGAAAGGGGCAGCGGACGCCTCCGACCACTCCAGCGCCCTCCGCGCCCATGGTCGCGAGGAGAGCGCTGTCGCCTGAGGGCGACACGTCCGATATGCTGGATTTCGGAAACCCTGACCTTAAACATATTGTTCTATTGGGGGCCCATGTTGTACTTCCCCCACCTTCCGCCGCCATTCCGACAGCTTCCGCCGGCGGAGGCAGCCTCGGTTTACCTCTGCCGACCTTCCGCCGATCCTCGAAGGCACGGGCTTTGTTAGAAGGCCTCACATGAAGACGGAAAGGACGGAACCGATGCCTGGCAGCGGAAGCAGCTGGCCCAGACCTGCCCGCGCTGTGCGCAAGCAGCGGCACGACGTGTTTGGCTGTTTTCGGCCTCCGGGCCCGGAGGCTCTCATCACATCCCGTGACCGTCTGATAGTGGCTCAGGTTGAAGAACCTTTGCCTGGGAAGAGCCAGGCTTTCTGTTACAACTGAACGAACGCGTCTGGAGGAGCAAAAGACACAAACTTGTGGAGGCCCGCTCTGATTTCTGGGATCTGACCTGGACCCCCTCCCTGGCGCGGAGCGCGCCAGAGGCGGCGCCAGAGGCGCCGCCATGGGGGTTCCAGCGCAAATCCATGAAATCCGCGCGGAGCTCCAAAACTTTATGTTGTTTTTGCAAATGGTTGTTCTTCAAGCGTTGGAAGTCTATGGGACGGGGAGCTGTCTGTAGTCGGAAATGGACTACGCCCGCGGAGGACACCAGCGAGACCTGGCCCCAAATGACCCAGGAAATACGGTTGGTCAGCGTCCCCATTTCTTCCGCCCCTACGTCGGTCCTCGCCGAAGGAAGGGGTGCCCCCATCCGACCCCCCCCCCGCCCCCAACAACCTGCTCTTCCTCATCGCTCGTCCCTTCCCCCTGCTCGTCGTCCTCCCCCTCTTCGTCACCATCATCATCCCCCTCCTCCTGCCTTCTGACTTCGCCGACCCCCTTTTTCCCATACTCATCCTCCTCTTCCCCTGCTCCTCTCATTCTAATTCGTTTTCCGCCTACTCCTTCTCATCCTCCCTCTTCATCGTGACCGTGTTCCTCTTTCTTTTTTTTTTTTTTCTCTCTCTCTCTCTCTCTCTCTCCCCCATCACTCTCTCGCTATATATATATATTTATATATATACACATATGTATGTGTAAATGTGTGTCCCTCTCCCCTTCACATCCTCCACCGGCCCTCACCACCCTCCTTAGCGTCATGGTTGTTGTTCCTCTAGCCTCTGCTTGCACCGTTGGGCTGCAGGGCGCTAGTGACCCTCAAGGGTGACTCTGTGCATCGATCGTGGTACAAGCCTGCTCGGCAAACAGAAAAGCAAAAGAAGAGGCACACGGAAAGACACGGCAACGGACGATGTGCCACAAGGGAGTTTCACGACACGGGGGAAGAATATGAAAGCGAGGCTGATGTTCAATTCACGGAACAGCAAACATTAAAAACTAACAACCCGCAGTCGAATACAGAGAGGCCTGGGCGCGCACGCACCTGCTCCGAAGACCTGCTGGATAGTGATCAACTCTGCTTGGAATACCGACGTGGCAGTCCTCCGATTGACAGGGGCAAGAACCCCTGAATCAAACAAAATTGCCATCTATCGGGGAGACGTCTTACTTCCGCCGTCTTCGGTCGGCCTTCCGCCGGCGGAGGCGCCCTCGTTTCACTGCCGCCGCTTTCCGCCAAGGAAGAGACGCCAACTCATTCGGTCCGTGAAGGCGAGGCCACTTCGAGATTGCCGCGATTGTACCCCGACGGGAATGATGGTCGTGACACGTCAACCATCCGACTGATCCTGATGGCCCTGATCTCATTCCCCCCTGGGACAGCTGTGTGCACGACGCAAGGCTCGCGCCGCCTGCGTGCAGGATGAGATCTGTACTGTTGTGCCTCCTCGCTCCCCCTTCCTCGCCCCCTCGCCCCCTTCCGGATACGGTTGAGACGCACGGTACGAAATGCAGTTGCAAGGACTCTAGGGCACGTTTGACGACGATCGCTGAGCTTCCCAGGTTGCCCCAAGGCTTCTGTGAGCCCCAAGGGCCACCGAGGCACAAGACATCTCCGTGAGACACCTGCTGGCACTTCTTCTCTGCTGCGCCCACTGTGCTCATCCTCCTTGTCCTACTCCACATCCGCATCTTCCCTGCCTTATCCGCCACGCCGCCAAGCCACCCTCCATCCTCATTCTCCTTGCCAATTTCCTCTTCCTCCTCTTCCCCCAAGACTTCGGACGTGTTTTTCATAGCATGAGCCCCACACACACACAAAAAAAACTTGTCCTCGAGACTGGTTTCATGCCGCGCCGTTGGTTGACGGCCCAAGGGCTAGAAGCGAGAGCCCCCGGAAGCTGAAATGTGCTCAGCCTGCCAGGGCAACGGAAGGGGTCTGGGCTGTCGTCATCCTGCTTCTCCTCCCCCCTCCTCCTCCTCCCCTCCTCCTCCCCCCCCTCCTCCTCCTCCTCCTCCTCCTCCTCCTCCTCCTCCTCCTCCTCCTCCTCCTCCTCCTCCTCCTCCTCCTCCTCCTCCTCCTCCTCCTCCTCCTGATCATCATCTCCCTCCTCCTCCCCCTCCTCCTCCTCCTCCTCCTCCTCCTCCTCCAAAGCCCGTGCCATGGTCAACCTGCTCCCACAGTCCTTCTCCATCCCGGCCATCGCTTTCTCTCGCTCCTCTCGTCAGGCGGGCGGTGGTGTCTCGCAGGCCCCCCACTGTTTCTTCCCCCTTGCCCTTCTCATGGCTCAGACGGCTCACTTCAGGCACCCATTTTACAAAAAGCTGCCAGCAACTTGCACTCCTCGCGCTACTTAAGCAGAACACAAGGGTGAGAAATTGAGGTTGCTCTGAAACGGACTCCTTCCGAAGGGGAGCTGGGGTCTCTGTCGATAGTTCAACTGTTTGCCCCAGGTGGATGGCGTCGCTGGCTGGGGGGGTCGAAAGTTCTCTCCCTCCCTCCTTCTCCTCCTCCCCCGCCGCCTATCATGCTCCACCTCCACCGCCTTCACTCATAATCCTACTATGTCTCGTGCCCCTCCTTCACCACCTCCTCCTCCTTTTCCTCCTCCTCCTCCTCCTCCTCCTCCTCCTCCTCCTCCTGGCTCCTGGTTCCCGGTTCCTGGTGGGCGTATGTTCGTACCGACGCAGCCTCCCCTCCTCCTCCTCTTCCTCCTCCTCCTTCTCCGCCTCCTCCTCCTCCGCCTCCTGTTAACCCTCATCACCAGCATCATCTAAGTTGTAGTGCCGGGACACCAGCTCCCGACCCCTGGAGGTCCTTGGAGGCCTCACGAAGCCTAAGGATGACCACAAACATGTCCACGGAGCCCCGAATTCGGGACCGTCGCAGACAAAGCTCAGCACCTCCAGCCTGCATGGGCTTCGTGCCACACTTCGGGCCTCTGGCGGCCGTTCGGGACCGCCCGGGCACCCCTGGAACGCCCTCGGCGAACCGCAGCCGCTGGAACGCGCCCAGAGGCAGGAGGATCCCCAGAGATGCCGACACCCCCGCCAACCGCCAGGCGCGGCCTCTCCCCCCGCGCCCTCCTCCTCGCCCTTCCATCTCCTCCTCCGCCTCCTTCTCGCCCTGCGTCTGGGGGTTTCTGCCTCGGTACCGCTGGGCTGGAGGCGCGGGCGTGGAGGGCCAAACCATCGCCGCGTGCCTCGTCGAGCTCAGTGGAGGCAGCTTATCTCATGCCTGACTTCGTCAATGCTCCCATTCTCATTCCCATTCCCATTCCCGATCCTTCGCTCGGCGGCGCGCTCGAGGGGGAATGAAAAGGGGCGGGCCTTCCCGGAAGCCCTCCCAGAAGGCACAGACGATCTCTCGAGAGGCGCGAGGGCTTCTGGGAGACCCCGCCGCCTCCCGAGAAGGCCTTCTCCTCCTCGCTCCCCCCCTCGCTCGCCGCCGGATCGCCTCCCCCCCCCCCGCCCTCCCCGCCGCACCCGTCGCCGTCCCAGCGACGCGGCAGAGCAGCTGCAGCGTGGCGGCCGCCGCCGCCGCGCACATCGCGGCCTGCGCCCACGCCTCGCGCGGGCGGGGGGGCCGCCCGAGCGGGCGAGCCTCGGCCCGCCATCGCTCGGGAGCACCGACCCCCCGAACACGCTCCGACGTCGTGCTGTTGTGCTGCAGTCGCACGAAGGCCCGGCATCGGGGGCGGACTGTGGAGAGGGCACGCGCGAGGACACAGAGACCCGCCCGAGGGCCACACTGCCACAGGGAGGTGCAGGAGGCACGGGCCACGAAAAACGCGGGGCACGAGTGTGGTCTTGATATTTGGACGGGTCGACGTACTAAAACTGGCCTCGACGGTCTGCTCCCCCGTGGCCCTCGCCGAGACACTTCCCGCACACGCCCGAGTGGCCCCAGCCATCCGACGTCTCGATGTTTCGAGACGCGGGCCCCCGACCTCCCGACCACTTCCCCGGGACCGGTTGTTCATCCCGAGACGCTTTTTGACGGTCCCGAGGCCCGGCGAGGGCCCCGAGAGGGCGAAAACAGAGAAAAAAACGCGTCTCGATTTTTGTCGAGACGTGCGATGTCTGGGGTGCCAAGTCGGAGGGGGGGGCCCGTCGCGGCAGCAGCGGCCCTCCCCGGGTGGTTTTTATTTTGCGCCTCGGCGGGCCCTTCCTGGAGGGCTTCGCTCGTCGCCCCCCCACGGCTGGTGCCGCCTCGCGACGCGGGCGCGAATGTAGCGGGGACGACACATTGGAGGCTCCTCCTCCTCCTCCTCCTCCTCCCCCTCCCTCCCGCCCGGGCCTGGCAGCGGCGAGCGGCGGCCACGCGTCTGTCCCCCGAGTCTGGTCCCATCCTCCTCCTCCTCCTCCTCCTCCCTCCTCCTCCTCCTCCTCCTCCTCCTCCTCCTCCTCCCTCCCTCCCTCCCTCCCTCCCTCCCTCCCTCCCTCCCGCCCGCCCCTCTGTCTCTCCTCTTCCTGGCCAAGGAAAAGAGACACCGAGTCCCCCCCCCCGCCCTCGGTGTGCCGCCCTGGCACACTGAGAGGGGACGGGGCTCGATGTACCTTCTCTGAAGCTTGAGGAAGGGAGTGGATGTGCGGGGGCGGGTCGGGACGGGTCGGGCGAGGACGGGACGGGCCTCACCCCACCTCTTCCCTCCCCTTCCCCCCAGGTCTTTTGTCCTCCTCCCCGCGCTCCCTCTGCGGCTGCCCTGCCCAGGCGACGTGATCGGGGGGTCTTCGAGGTTGAGCGTCGTGTGTCGTGGCTGGTGTCAGAAGCCAGGCTGTCTGGGCAGGAACCCGTTGAAGTCGGAGCGGGCGTGGAGGTCGGCCGGGAGACCTGCTGGTCGAGGGCGAGGTCTGGAGGCTGGGGCTGGGGGTCGACCCAGCGCACCGTTCCTTGCCGTACACTCCGACTGCCCTCAGAGGGCCACCGGCCCTCGTCCCAAGGGTCTCTCTGAGCCGCGGGGAGGTGTTTCGGTAAGTTCTGTTTGGTGCTCTGGCTCAGTCCCTCCCCCACTTTTTCGTCCTAATTCCCCTGCTGGACCACGTGGAACGCCGCCCAGGCAGCAGCGCAGCCTCCCCCAACCCAGATGTCCGTGCCGCAGTGGAAGGACATCCCAGGCACCTGCGAGCCCGCAGAGCAGACAACCCGAGCTGCTGGGTTTGGCGGCACCAGTGACTCGGCAACCATCGCCTGCATGGGATGCGGGCAGCCCTCGTACGCCCTCGTCGCGACCAAGGGGCCCTTGGGGCTGAGGCTTCTGTGCGGCGCCTGCGGGCAGGCAGGCTGCGGGCAGGCCGGCAGGACGTCCCCCCCGCCGGTCCCGTCACCGCCAGGCAACGCCCAGGCATGGGCTCCGCTGCAAGCAAATGCCGCCCCGAAGCCGTGCATGATTCCGAGCGGGCCCGTGGCTTCGATGGGTGCGACGCCTCCGACGCCAACGGCCTGGGATCCGCTTTTCCCAGAATATGCGCGCTCGTGCCAGGGGCCAACCGGCCCCTTGACCGTGCCGCCTGCTGTCGACAAGCACCGCGTGGACAGGTGGGTCCGGAGGCTTCCCGACGGGAGCCTCCCCACAGATCGCATCGTACTGTACTGGGCGCTCACCTCCCCAGCGGGGGCCCCGCTGCTGACCACCGGCAAGTGGAGCTACGTGCCGAAGGATTCCCGCCCCCCCAGCGGCGTGCTGCTGCAATTCGGGCACAAAAGGGGCTCGGTACACGTGTGGCTCCGCAAAGGTGGCCACGTCCACGTGCAGGCCAGCGTCGGGGTCGAGGACCGGATCCTGGCCAAGCTGGAGGCCTGGACCGTGCCGTGGAACAACGGCAGCCCGCCCGCCCCGCCGCGGCCCGGCGCCGGCGGTCAGGAAGGGCTCCCGCCTCTGCCGCCTCTGCCGCCCGCCGACTGGTCGCCCCCGCCGGCCGCGTGAGCTGCGCCGCTTTACGCCAGGGCCTTTCCGTCTGCTCGTCCCTCCTCTTCCCTCTCCTGCCCCCCGCCCCCCGCCCCGTAGAGGCCACAGTGTGTCGGAGGCGGCAGATGCCAGCGTTTGCGCCGATCTCGGACTCCGTATAAGATCCGTGCAGGGGGTGTGGATTTCCCCCATTTGAGTTCGGCCACGGGTGCGTGAACGCAACCGATTGGCTCAAGACATCGCGATAGGAAAACATGTGCCAACACTATCTCTCTTTTCTTGCTTTCCGCTCTCCTTCCCCTCTCCCCCTTCCCTCCCTCGCTCCCTCCCTCCCTCCCTCCCTCCCCCTCCTTCTCCCCTCCCTCTTTTCCTCCCTCCCTCCCCCCCTCCCCTCCCTCCCCGCTTTCCGTGCGGGGCCGGGTCGGGTGGGTCGGGACGGTGTCGGGGGCGGAGGCCCTGTCTCTCTTGTTGCCGTCGGTGGAGCCTCTTGCTGGCGCCCGTTTGGGGCGGACTGATTGTGCCCCCCTCCCCTCGGAGATGGACGGCCGCCCAGCCTTCCGCTGCCGCCGTCGTTGATCGTAGCTGGTCCCCGCCGCCCTCCGCCGCCGCTGCCGCTCTCGTTGCTGCCGCCTGCGGTGTCGTCGTCGCGTCTTCGTCCCTGGTCGTCGTCGTCTCTCTGTTGGCGTCGCCGTCGTTGTCGTCGGTGTCGTTGTTGTCGTCGTTGTCGTCGTTGTCGTCTTCTTCGTCGGCCTCGCCGCCGATCGGCGCAGATCGCTGTTTCGCAGGCGAGACTTCGGCAAGGTTGCCGGGGCGGGGTGAGCAGTTCGGACGCTTCTCTGCCGCGGAGCGGTCTCGTCGGGCTGGCCGGCCCCGAATTTCGGCCACGTTCGAGGACGTTTCCCTGCCGCGGGAGGCCGGATGCCGCCCGTCGAGGTTGGAAGCGGACGGGAGGCGCCAAGTTCGCCGCGGGGTCTGTGTTTCCGGTGCCCATTCCGACGGTGAAAAACTTAGGTGAAATGCCACACGCTTCGCCGGCGAAGCGTTCGGCATTTCACTGAGGGTTTTCGGCCCTCTCGCGCAGCCTTAGGCGCCTCGTTGTGCCCGCTCGGGCGGTCCTGGAACCCACCAGATGCTGTCCTGAGGCCCGGGTGCCCGCCGCTGGGGTGGTGCCCGCCGACCCTGCGGGGGTCATCTTCGTTTCGTCTTCTGCTCTCGCCTCGCTCTTCTCTGTCCTCGTCCTGCTCTTTTCTTCCTGCCGTTCCTGGGGCTCGGGAGGGAGCGGGGAGGTCCCGCCGCGACATAGCGCAGGCCGCCATGAACACCCTGCTGGACGCCCTGGTGGCGGCCTTCCCTCACGCCAGGGGCATTGGACCGACTGGGGATCCCGCAGCTGACGCCCTGGTGCAATTCAGGTGGACGCAACTCCAGGACGAGGCCCACCGACTTTTGTCCCAGGCCAGGAGTGGGGATCGCCCTCCACCTTCCCAGGCACAAACGGAGCTACTCGCGGCCCTGAGATGGGTGTTGGGTGCACCCATACAGGGCTTCCCCAAGGCCACTGGTCCGATCATGAAGGCAGGGATCGCCCCAGGCACATCGTCAGATGTACGGCTGGGCGTCGGCTCTCCGAGCACTCTGGGGTGCCTGTCCATTGATGGTGCCAGGGTGCGGTGGAAAGCGTTTACTGACAGCACAGTGGGCATCCTGGCCACGCTCCGCAAGCTCGACCTTGTTGTGTTGGGGTTGCCTGGGGCCCGCCTGGCCGAGGGAGTCACTATTCCAGGGCACGCAGACATCGGCATCGCGGCGAGAGGAGGTCCCTCGTACGCCAGTGTTGCAGTGATTTGGGACAGAGTTCGACTCCCGTCCGCGAGCACGATCGCGGCGGTGGGCTCCTGTCGCCGCCTCTGGCTGCGAGCAGAGGATGCGCAGGGCCAGGAGTGGCTCATATGTACAATTTATCTTCCCCCAGTCCCCAAAACGGGGCCTGACAAGGAATGGTTCCTCGAGATGGAAGGGCTGCACGCGGACGTGGAGAAGCTCCAAGGCCCGGCCCCGCTGGGAGTCGGCGCCCGCGTGATCGTCATGGGGGACATCAACATGCAACCAGACGAGCTATTCTGAGCGCGAGAGCCCTCGAGGGCTCGTGCACGCCGCTGGTCACGTCTGGTCACGACGTGGGGGCTGTCCCTCCTAAACCCCTCGTCGGGGCAGGGCCCGGCAGCCCACGTGAGCCTCCCCCTCCGGGGCCGCAGCCTCGCCCTCCGCCCTGGCGACACCCACCATGGGGGGGGCGCGGCACGCTGCATTGACGTCGTCGTTGCTTCTCGAGCTGCCCACGGCGTCGCACGGGTGCACAATGGTCTGTCCTGCAGGGGTGTCGGCGGCTGCAGTTGGGAATATTGCGTTGAGTACACGTACGGGGACCATTTCTTGATCGACTTTACCATCCCATTTCGGCTCCTGCTTGCGTCCCTCGGGCAGGGGGCCATCCGCATGCCGCGCTGGTGGAACAAAGCGGACTCCTGGGCCGACGGGCTCACAGAGGCCCGCCCAGTCCTGCAAGCGTATGCGGACATCCTGCGGCATTATTGTGGTGACGGGGAGGCAGCCGCATGCTCGAGAACGCTGGGCGCGCGCGCGGCTCAGTGGTTAGGGG